AGCTGCCGCACAACCAGTGGATGGTGTTGACCCTGGTCGTAATGTGACACGGCGTGCTCGTAGCGCTCGTCCTAAGAAGCACCCTAAGGCAACGGGGACGTTGCCACCTAGGGGGGGAGGAGTGTAACGCACCACCTAACGCACCACCTAACTTCTTCCTAGTCTAGGTCGAGAAATGTCTCGACAGAAATCGGACTACGGGAGTTGAAGGTTGAGTTGGGAGAGAAAGGTTGGCTTGGTATTCCAAACCTCAACTTTGAGGCTTGGGACTTTCCAACCCAACAGAAATGAGGATTGGGAAGTTTTCCAACCCAACCAAAGGAATGTGCAAGGTTGGATTTCCAACCAATGGGAAGTTGACAGTTGTTGTTACAATCCACACAAAGTTTAAAACAACCATACATTGTGCTAAGTTGGGTTTTCCCCAACCAAACTAAAGTGCCACATAGGCTCCAAGCCTATTAGCTACCCAACCATGGAAGCCATGGTTGGGAAGAGCCCCAAGGGGTATTGAGGAAGGGGTTGGAGCTCTCAAGCTCATTCCCACTTCCCAACTCCAACAATCTAACTTGGAAATGGGATTTTCACTCTAAGTCTTTTGGTTCTCCTAACAAGCTCTCCTACACAACTAGACTTGTGATTCTTCAAGGACAAGCTCTACAAGAAGCTACCTACCTACTTGCTAAAGCTCCATCAACCTAATTCAAGCTCTCTTGCTCATCTCAAGCTTCAAGGATATTATCAAGGCTAGATTACCCCTTGGTGGGGTTAGTTAAGTTTGGAAGCCTTGTATCTTGATTCTATATAAGTTGTCAAGGAGGATTTATATTTAACACACGGTTGCCCGTTGTTATAAGGGCCGTGGTTGTTACAGCAGCTGCCAGCTCCGTTCCCCCCAGGCTTGCACACCCAATCCAGGTCCATGGAACGGCAAGTCTTTGTTGACCTGGCAAATGGTTCGAATGCCGCATCTCGAGCAAGACCTTCGAATGGAACCGATTCTGTACTCCACTATCTTGAGAAGTATGGCGTGCAATAGCAGTTAGGGACTGGCGATTCGCAACTGTTGCTCTTTGACAATACCCCACCCCCCCACAACCCCAGCCGTCTGTCGGCAGCAGCATCCAAGTGGAGCAGTCTGCCTGTCCTTTCGTGATTTTGAAAGCTCAAACGTGGAGTGTACACGCGTGGATTGGTTACAGAATATTCTTTCTGTTGTATTTACACCTACAATGTCAAGTTGTGCAAAACCTGACTATGGTGCCCCTTTCTTCTGTAAACGTTTACTCCATAGAAACAACTCTCCCCCAACAAATGCCCCACACAAGCATACCAGTCAGCACATTTCACAACGGTTTCACAGAACACACAACGCTGTGCAGGCCGCAAATATACTTAACACAATCGTGCAGGATACGGAACCCACAATTCATATGGTAAGTTGACTCCCCACTCGCCTGAGAGCTCACTTCAAATCTGTAATGGTCGAATGGACTGCTCTGCTCCTTTCCCTGCAGCCCAATTCAGGGAAATGACCGAGACACAAGGAGATTATGCGCCCCATAACCCATAGTCCTGTCCTGACCTTGCCCAACCCAATCCCGCTGCACGCTTCCACCCCATCCTGCCCCATAACACTCCATGTTTTCCCTCATAGCCCATCCCACCCCACGCCACCCACCCTCACCTTGTCAACTGCTTCTGGTTCCGACATGTCTCCTTCGCACTGTTCCCAGCTTCCGCACATATCCACCGCTGCGCCCCCAGCTCCCCCTTTGTAAACGCCGCTCTCGCCTCTCTTCTCTATTCCCCGCTGCCCACCTCCCCCCACACTCTGTTCCCAGCCCCTGCTGCTCTCAGCTTCCCTACTCGCCCCCGCAGCTCTATCGCCTATCCCGCGCATCTCCCCCTTCTCTTTCCGCTTCTCCCGGGGCCTGCTCCCACTCACCTGCCCCAGCACCCGCAGCAGCTGCGCCGTATGGCTCCCTCCGCTCCGCTGCTGCCGTGCTCCCGCCCGACAACATGGCGGAAGGACGACGGGACAACGGGAATGGGGAAACACATGAAGGGGGATACAGAAGGGGGGAAACGGAGGAGGGAGGGAAGGGAGGAAAGGAGGGATGTAGCTAGATGACAGAGCAAGGCAGATGGGCGAGGGAAAAGGGAAGATTGGCTGGGGTGGTTAGTCTGCTAACTGATGCAAACAAAACGAGGCGGGCTTGAAAGCCTCACGACGAAAAGAACAACGACGAATAAAACTACCGGAGATCGTTCACTGACACCGACTACCAGGATCGGGTGACCGACACAGACCTGCTTACGATCTGTGACCGTGACCGTGTTACTGCTGATAGTGGTAACCACACTGCTTCTCGTCGGCCCGAGCTCCAGCAGACTCGACCGTCTGAGGCGAGGCTGCTGTTAGTGCCTGCACCGCGTTGTGCGTGCTTTGTCGCATCTCGGCTTCAGCGAGGAGGCCGTGGGAGCCGTTGTTGCCGTGTCACCACAATATCGAGCTCCATCGCTGCAGATCCAGTGAGCTCTGACGCCGTGAATCGCGGTGATGGGGAGCAGCGGAAACGCAGTGAAACAGAAAATGGAAACATTATGCAAAACAAGGCTTCGAAGCGCCTCGTTGGTCTGTGGCTTCATAATTTTTTTGACACTCCAAACTTCAGATTTGAGATCCGAAAGAACATCGAGCCAGTGTGGGAAATGGGTAGAGTTGCACACACAAGCGACAAAAGCAGATACGATAATACATCTTTCAACTATGTACAGAAATCGTATCATACTCCTTTATACAGCAAGAAAAGTATGGCACTCGCAAAATCAAGTGAAACATCCGGCAGTTGGCCAGACCTAAACATTGGGGGAGGTATACGTGAGCGTGGAGAATGGCCTCTATAAATTGAGACATCCGGGAAGACGTCAAGTTCATGCAATACATTGCTGCTCTGCTCAAGATTACCCAAGTCGTTTTCCGGATTCAAACTCTCTGCTGCTCTGAATCCAAGCGGAAACGTTGTTGGGATTTGAAAACGCGAGCCCCATTGGTCATCAGCTAGGGCCGCCAAAGCAGCCGCGTTGGCTCCGGAGAAATCAGTCAAGTCGACGAGAGGAGCAATTGTGCGGTTCATGACACCTGCCGAGGCTCTGACATGTGCGTGCGGCACCGTAGACCGCTGCAGTATGGTTGGTGGGGCAGGAGGGGGGGCTGCAAGCACGAGTCCTGGGGGGTCGAATTTAGACGCCACTCTAGAAGCACTGGCTCAGACAGGGAGGCTGCCAGCCCTCGTCCCTGCAGCCCTCTCCCCACGGGCACATGGGGTTGAGGAGCACATGGGGTTATGGTGCATGACAGGTGCGGCACTGGCAGGTGGATGGCAGGTGCAGGCAGGGAGAGGGGAGACACGGGCGTGTGGGGAGCAAGAGAGCAGCAGGCAGCCCCATGGCATGAGGCTGTGGGCGGAAGCAGAGTCTTTCCATCAGCGCACTTTGAGTCATGAACCTCCCTGCTCATCGTCTCTGGAAATGAACCAGCCAGAACAACTACTTGCGAGGTCAGAGGCACTGGGCATGCGGCATGAGGCGTGCTGTACCCAGCCTCCCCGCTGCTGACCCCCAGCAGCACGTCGTCTGGAAGGGCACTCTCCGACCCAAGGCGCGGCCACAGTGCTGGTTGCACGCGACTCCTCTTCCCCTGCTGTATGCAACCACTCTCCAGCGACTGTGGGCGCTGCTCTGTGCAGCCTAGCATGGGTGGAGCTGCGACAGGGCCAGTAAAGCCGTCCCGTGGTCGCTTGCTTGGCAGGCTGGGGGCAGCAGGGTCGGTGCAGAGTGGTGGTGTCGTCCTCATGACCTCAGCAGGGTCGATGCAGAGCGACGCTTGCCTCCTCATTGCCTTGGCAGGGCTGGTGCAGTTGGGCTCTCTCCTCCTCGTCGCATCAGCAGGGCCAGGGTACAGCACTCCCCTCATCAGCTTGCAAAAGGCAGCAGTGGCATGGGAGGCAGCAGCACTGGCTCCAGCAGCAGGGTTGGTGGAGCGGGACCTTCCCCTCACCACATTGGCACGGCCACAGCAGCGTGCTCCCCTCCCCACCTCAGCAGGGTCGGTGCAGAGCGAAGTTTCCCTCATCAGCTTGCAAAACGCGGCAGTGGCATCGGAGACAGCAGCACTGGCCACGGCAGCAGTGGCAAGAGCAGCAGGTTTAGAAGCAGCATCCGCAGCAGCAAGAGCTGGTTCACATGCAGCATCAGCAGTGGCAGTGGGCGGGGTATTGGCATCTGACGTAGTAGCAACAGTGATGAGAGTAGCAGCACCGAACCCCGCAGCGGCAACGGGGAGAGTAGCAGCCTCGTACGGAGCAGCGGCAAAGGGGATTGAAGCAACATCAAACGCAGAGGCAGCTCTAGGGAGAGTAGCATGAGTATAAGCAGCAGCAGCAGCAGAGGGCGGGGAAGCAGGAGGGCCAGCAGCAACAGCACCAAGTGTCGTCACAGGCTCGGCAGGTGGGTGGGTGTCATTGGGTGAGAGGAAGACGCACTTACACTCGTCAAACGACAGCCCTCCAAAAGTCAAAACAGCTGTCCGCGATCGATGTGACCCCACACCACCCTGCTGCTGCTGCTGCTGCTGCTGCTGCTGCTGCTGTAGCGCCAGGCTCTGCATGGAAGTGTGACTCGAGGGTGCAGCGCCACGTGGGAAGCATTCACTCCAAAACTGGTGCTGAAAGCGGTGAAGAAACCTTCTGCGCGTGGAACAACGGGGCACAACAAACAAATGTAGAAAAACGGCAGAGCCTTGTCGAATGGCTAAGAATTGTCAAAGGGCTTCGAATTGTCAAACGGCCTAGAATCGTCAAACGGCTAAGAATTTTCAAACGGCTAAGAATCGTCAAACGGCTTAGAATCGTCAAACGGCTAAGAATTGTCAAACGGCTAAGAATCTTCAAACGGCTGCAGCTCTTTCACATGATGTACGTGTCATGCCGGGTTACCTTCGGAGGAAGATGTAACGGTTACAGCACGACTTGTTGCTCCTCTTGAGCTGACCGCTCCTCTCCAGCTCGCCCCACTGCTTCGTGCCGCACTGCAGCGCGTGGCGCAGCAGAACCGCGTCCTCCTGCCGTGCGAGAGAGGGAGGGAATGAGCGGCTCGAGGGGGCAATGAGAGTGCGCATGGAGGCAACAGCACTGAGAAGCATTGCTTGACTCGAGCTTGCTTCATCCCCTTTCATGAAATAGGAAAAAATCACCGCCACAGAGGATACCTCGTGAAATCCCACACCAAACCCACCAGGCATGTTCAGACAGTTATTGGGATTTCGTCTCAAATTGAGAAACCGGGCCAGGGGCGTTGAGTCCCTTGTGCCGGCGAGAGCATGCTCGAAATATTGAAAGAATGGGCGAACTCATTATGATGAATAACCGCTGAGAACAAGAAATCTTTTCGCATCCCCCTAAGGAAGCTTATGAAAAAGTACCACTCACCTCTCCCCTCACCTCTCGGGACCACGCCTTAAGCGATGGGGACGCAGAACCGCCTATGGCTTCGGAGGAATGCAGCATCGCTTCCACCGCCTATGGCTTCAGTGAAATCCCTTCACCGCAAGGTAGTGATAGATTCGCAACACGAATACAGATGAATGGCTGAGAGTCGACTGATCTACTAGCAGCACTATTAGCAACACGAGGAGGGACTCCCCAATATACAGAAGCCCAGTCGATATAAGATTCGAGGGGAAACGTCTCAGAGAACGCCGTGAAACACCGTAACCATGCGCCGTACGTAGGGATAAAACGCCCGCAAAATATCCAGTCAAGAACGAAGTTCCGAAATGCTCTGACGTGACCATACCATGTGGGATGCGGATCGGACCTTTGCTGTCTCCCTCCCCCGGCAATCATCAGTCAAACTGACGGCGATGGAAGTGCGAATGTGCGACACTCTATCAAAAGTGCGATTGGCTCGGATCTAGTTCCCGTGACCCGTCTCGTAGTACGGGAGACGGCACGTTTGGTAGAGTGTCGCACAAGAAGCAAACTCTCATGGCGTGGCATCAGGCGAAAACTCATCCCTAGTCCCGAACTCCTCGCAAGGGAGCTCCAACGAAACCCCGCGGGCCCCGCAGAATCGAGCGTATCACGCAGAAAGAACGGAACGAAAGCGGACGCCTTGAGTGGTAGTACTGTTGCCGCGTCGAGCACTGGAGGGTCCGAACCGTCGATCAACCGGTCCGAATTGTGCTGTTGCTGCCAACTCGCGCCAGTGCGTGCTCGTTGCGTAACCGAAAGGCACGTGAGTGGCTCGCTTCTCTCAGCCCGGGAAGCCATGCGGGTTTGTTAATCATGACTACTTAATCAGCCGCTGGCAAAGACGGCAGCTATGAGCTGGCCGAGCGATTCAACTGGACGCCTGTTCCTCGCCGTAGGAAACTGCGTAATTGCCTGGCTGGTCTCTTGTCTCTTCGGTTCCTACCTACTGAAAGTGTTCTACAAATTGCTCTTCCTAAAAGAGAACCCACTATGGAGAGAAACAATGTGATATTGACTTGGGTGATTATGTAACCGGTATTTCATTAAACAGTAGACTCTCATTACAAAAGTCCACTGTTCTATCAAGGACAGTCAAATGTTCCGCACAATCGATCACGAATGGTCACTACTGTATCACAAATCGTCACTCTGGTCTTGTGAGGATGGTGAAATCCCTCTGTGAAACAAGATATCCGAGACAATGTCAAGTTCATGCAATTTATTGCTGTGGTCAAGATTGTCCAAGTCATTTTCAGGCTTCAAAAATGCTTTTTGTCTGAACCCAGGCAGACCTGTCGAAGATTGAACACGTGAGTCCGAGTGGACATCAACTCGGCCGTCCAAATTAGCCGCGTTGGCTCCGGAAGAATCAGCAATGTCAATCACAGGAGCACGGTTCATGAGATCTGGCGACGCTCTGACATGTGCCTGCAGCACCGTAGAGCCTGGCAGTATGGGAGGTTGCGCAGGAGGCGGGGGAGGTTGCAAGCGCGAATCCCGTGCGCTTGGACTCAGAATGTGCCTTGCAGCAACTAGCGGGGCAGGGGGGGGATGTAAAGGCAGCAGAAGTGGCTGCTGCAGTTGTTGGAACAAGGACTGGTGCGACGAGAGAGGGGGAGTCAGCGCAAGCTGCAGGCTGCGACCAACATTCAGCTGCTCACAAAAACCTCTCTGCAGTTGAGCGCCCCCCTCCCCGGTCCTGTCTTGCTCCCGACGCCACTCCAGCAGCGCTGGCTCGGACAGCGAGGCTGCCAGCCCTCGTCCCTGCAGCTCTCTCCCTGAGGGCAGGCGGGCAGCAGGTGCACAGGGGGCCATGGCGCAAGACGGGTGCGCCACTGGCAGGTGGGAGGCAGGCCCAGGCAGGCAGGGGGGAGACGCGGGCATGTGGGGAGCAAGAGAGCAGCAGGCAGCCCTGCGGCATGAGGCAATGCAATGAACCGGCGACTGTATGCTAGGACGATTCTTGTCAGGGGCCATCATGCACATGCAGCTCACTGCCCCCTGGGAGTGAACCAGCCAGCACAACTACTTGCGAGGGCAGAGGCGCTGGCCGCGCATAGCATTGAGATATTGGCTCTACAATGCCACGTGGTGCACTGTACCCAGCCTCCCCGGTGCTGAACCCAGCCTCCCCAGCGCCATAGCCAGGCTCCCCGGTGCTGAATCCTAGCAGCACGTCATCTGGAAGGGCACTCTTCGACCCAACCCGCGGCCACAGTGCTGGTTGCACGCGACTCCTCTTCCCCTGCCGTGCACAGCCACTCTCCAGCGACTGTGGGCGCATTGTGCGGGCTAGCATTGGTGGAGCTGCGACAGGGCCAGTTAATCCCTCCCTTGGTCGCTTGCTTGGTGGGCTCCGTGCTGCAGAGTCGGTGCACAGCGGCCCTTCCCTCACCACCTCAGCAGGGTCGGTGCAGAGCGAAGTTTCCCTCATCAGCTTGCAAAACGCAGCAGTGGCATCGGAGACAGCAGCACTGGCCACGGCAGCAGTGGCAAGAGCAGCAGGTTTATGAGCAACAGCAGCAGCAGCAATGGGACGAGTAGCAACACTGAACCCAGCAGCAGCAGCAGTAGGGTGAGAAACAGCATCGAACGCAGCAGTAGAAGCCGTGAGAGTAGAATCATCGAACGCAGAAGAAGCGGTGGGGAGAATAAAAGCATCCAATGCAGCAGCAGCAGCAGTGGGGAACGCAGCAATAAACACAGAAACCTCAGTGGGGATGGTAGCAACATCACACGCAGATGCTGCAGTGGGGATAGTAGTAGTAGCATCAAACGCAGCAGCAATGTCAGGAAGAGGAGCAGCGGTGACAGAAGCGGCAGCGGCAGGGCGAGAGCCAGAGGAGAGGGTCGCAGGCTCGGCGAAAGGGTGGCTGTCATTGGGTGAGAGGAACACGCGCCTGCACTCATCAATGGACAGCCCACCAAAAGTCAGAGCAGCAGGCAGAGATCGGTGGGAATCCACACCACCCTGCTGCTGCTGCTGCTGCTGCTGCTGCTGCTGCGGCTGCTGCTGCAGCTTCGGTAGCGGCTGAATGTGCCTGGAACTGTGCCTTGACGTTGCACCGCCGCGGGCGACGCATCCCCTCCACAGCTGCTGCTGTAAGCGCTGAATGAACCTTCTGCAGCCGAACGAAAGGGCACCACGAACGGATGTTTATCAAGCGGCTCAGGAGTGTACTCTCAACGGATGTACGTGCCATGCGGGCCCCGGGGTTTTCCCACTGTCCAACCCCCCCCCCCCCCCCCCCCCCCCCCAATAACACTTATAACCCGGGGTTACCTTCGGAGGAAGATGTAACGGTTACAGCACGACTTGTTGCTCCTCTTGAGCTGACCGCTCCTCCCCAGCTCTCCCCACTGCTTCGTGCCGCACTGCAGCGCGTGGCGCAGCAGAACCGCGTCCTCCTGCCGTGAGAGTGTGCGAAGGGCAATCGCAACGTGAGGCGGGAGGTAATGGCAGCGTTGTGCGCATGAAAGCGGCGGCAGCATGATCGAAAAGAACCGGTTCTCAAGCTGAGACAAAAACCGGGCCAGCCTTGCGTTGAGTCGCTGGCGCCGGGAGAAGCATCTAATAGTACATCCCGTTGACCTAACTTGTCATCTGCATGTGTTGGAAGATTGGACAAACTCACAAGGACTAAGAAACGCACCACAATAATTTTCACTCCACTTCCACTCCGTCTAGGATAATACCACTCACCTACCACTCATCTACCACTCAGTACCACTCCTACCACTCACCTCTCTCCACTCACCTCGCGAGACCACGTAGAACCGGTTTCTATCATGCCTTCAGAGGAATGCGGCATACTGGCACTCAGCAGGCCGCCGCTGCTTGTCGCAAGGCCTCTCTAATGTCCGACCCAAGCCGAGAATCGTTTCACAACTCTAATTCAGAAACTGCCGACACGTACGCGTAGCAGACAGTATTGGAGTACATTAAACTCACTCCAGATGATGGACGACGGACGGACACCTCTACGAGTGGGACTTTACAGCTCGTAACTACAGTACAAAGGTACAGCAATCGTCAGCCGCTGATTATCTGAAGCATACGAGCGAGGGAGGACCAGCCATCAGGAGTGAAAATCCAAGCGAATATGCTCAAATCTAATTCCGGCGACCAAGGAGTGCGGGGACAAAAGGGACAACCGTACGTTGGTCCAGACAGACTCCAGCGAGCGGCGCCAACGGAAAACCTACACGTGTAGTCAAGGTGGGGACCAACGAAACATGAGCACAGAAAGGACCGGGACAATGGGATGAGATAGCTTGCGCTGACCAACCTTGAACAAAAACTGGAGAACCTTGCGAGCATCTTGGCGATGGTGCACAGTCTGCTGCCAACTCGCGTCTGTGTGTCTTCCATGCTAGCATTCGGGATCGGCGAGGCACGTGAAGAGGCATAATTTACTCGTCTACGAAGACCCGTGCGGATTGTGAATCATGTCATGAGCATTGTCCAGAAGCACCCATAGACAGCAGCTGCCAGCTCATATCTTGCGTTGTACGAAATCAACATTGAGTCAAGAACGAGGAGGAATTTCAGCTGGAAGGGGCAATGCTACCAGGACCGGGGATGAATTTCTCATGCCATGCGCTCTGCTTATGCGCCTTGAAATCCCATTACAAAGTTTCATCCTACCTCTTTACCCTGTATCACCGTACACCATCTGCTACCTCTGATCTACTCGATACAAGACACAATCCTGCTTCTCACAAGCAGCTCACCTTAGCACAAACTCATTGTGCAACAATAACAAGAGTCGAAGTAACCCATATGTACACTAACAAGTACACTTCTTCCAGGCTTCAAATTTCTATCTGCACTCTTTCCTACGAATGCTTGTCCAATTGCGACCCATGCCTTTGTTCCAGAGGTCTAGTGTGCTTATGGGGCCACCATCTCTGCTGCCAAGCATGCCCTCCGTTCCCCCCCTCTTTTAATTTTTTTCCATCACCCTCGTCGTTAGCCTCCTCCTTCCCATCACCCCCTTCTCCCGTGCAACCCTCTACCGCCTCATTCACCGTCGCCTCACCAACCGCCCACATCACCACGGCACGCCGCCTGTAATCATCCATCGCCTTCGAAGAAGCTTCCTCCAGAGATCCACTTTCCTTGTGCTCCGAACCTCCCTGAGCCTTCGCCGTCTCCACGGCCTCTTCGCTTCCCGAAAACTCCTCCTCTTCACCCAGCTCTTGAGACAGGTACCGCTCACACTCCCCTTCGTCCCACGCGGGCATGGAGGCAAGCAGGTAGGCTGCTGACAAACCTAGCCCTCCGCCCTCTGATACAATCCTGGCTTCGCTAACAACCCCGCCCAGGAGGTGCTTATCGCCAGGCTTCTCAATCTCCCTCGTTAGTGTCACACTCGAACCAGCGGCACCAGATGAAGCGTGCAGCAGGTCGGCTTCCCACGGCGAGAGGGGGACATCCAAGCCTAGGCCAGCCGGGTGGCCGCATCTGTGGATATGATACGGCGCGATCATATCTGGAAGTCGGTCGGCCGTCACGGGCTGTCGGTGCTCCCGTGTGCTCCGCTCATCCCGCATGTGCTCCCTCAAAAACGAGGCTGCGTCCGTGCTGGGGGCTGATGGATAGTCTGACTGCGCGGGGAGGGATTTAGAATACAGAAGCATTACTTGGTGAAGCAACAAGGTGAAACATGATGAAAAAAAAAAAAAAAACCAATACAATTAGGACCTGCCAAGAGTTGTGACTGACGGAAAAAAAGACCGCGACGTAATTTAAGGCCGCAAACACAAGGATCGAGTAGCTATAGGGAGCACACATTCCTCACCTTATCCTTGCTGGCCCCTGAATCCCCTGAGTACTCCGCACATGTCCGCAACGGCCGATTAACTTTCCCATATCGCACAAATGGTCGTGCTCCAATAAAACGGCCTAATGGATGCGCCGATAGTTTTAGCGGCGCTTCCCCACCCTGAGAAGCGGAGCTGCGACCAGCCCAGGCCAGCCGCGAATCAAGTGCTCTCGTAAGCACCATCGTGCCGGAGAGATTCATTAAGATCCAGGCCGCTTAAGTTAAAAGTCCTGTGTGTAGACAGACAGGAACGAATGAAACGACCGCTTCCTGCCTTCCCATGGAGTTTCACGAATTTCTAGCAGCATCGTGAGGTGCCGCATCAACTTCGCACAGCTGGTTGCTTTGCATTGCGCGCCGTTCTCTGCGCTGGCGTGGCCTGAATTCGCGCGACGGAACGCCATGAAGCGACAACGGACTGAAGTGTCGTGACGAGTCCTGTCAAGACAAGAGGAGCCTGGGGATTGGGGAATCGGGGCTGGAGGGGAATGCAGACTGCGGTACCTAGATTTCGGTGTTGTCCAGGTTCGTGTCATCGAAGCTCGGGCTGCGAGGCGATATAAAAGGGCGCGATTACTCCGAAATGTACTATAATGGGGTGTTCAGGCCGGGACGATAATTTCCTTTGGGTGGCAATTTTTAATTCATGCAGCAATTTTGCATCTAAGCAATACAATGGGATTTTTCTTCTTCAATCTCTAGAGCCAACGAGGAGATCACACTTCCTATCGTAAATTCGCCCATACTTGGACATAAATGCACCGGCATGTGGAGTGTTTTGCTTTTAATGCATATGACATCCCTCCTGTAAAAACTGTAGTTAGGCTTAACTTTGGAGAAAAAGGAGAGGCCTTCAAAGGTGTATAGTTTGTACATGACCAGTGCCCCCTCATCTATGGTCCAGAGCCTGAAGCTGCAACGTCATGCGAATGCGTCAAGCCACGAAAAGGACAGAACCAACGGGACACACCAGTGCCCCCTCATCTCTACTGTACAGTATCGGGGAGCAATCCCATGAGCCAACATTGAGCCGGAAATACCTTCTATCGAATCGAAGGCTATTACTTTGCCATAAGCGTCTAAGGATTAGTACATTACATCACTAAGCACCATGTCAGCAAGCCCTAGCTGCGATGTTTTTCACACCGACCACCACCTGAAAATTGTGGGGATGCAACGCGAAGAACCCAAGGTTTCCACAGGCAGGAGACAGACAGCTGTAACGGTGCAAACAGTTCCTGCATCTAAGGGCGCATTCCGGGGTGTCATGACAGCACCCCTGGCAACTGCGACTGGTTGAACGACACTGAGCGACGCCTCGCGATCCCGGAGCACAACAGTTTTGAGAATTCTCATATAACAGTCGGTGTGCGACGACCAACTTGCAAGCACGGAATGCGGCAGTACCTTGCTGCGCATACCGCCAAGGGCCCCCGGTGGATAGAGTGGTGTTTCGACAAGCACGCAAGTTCGCGACGTGATTGGCGGAGCGTCCTTGACATGGACCGAACGGGACAGATGTGACTGGGAGTCTCTCGAGTCTCGACTCGACTCGACAGTTGGCTTGATGCGACTCTAATTTGGTCCAACGACTCGCGCGCTGTCCTGAATTTTACGAATTTATGCCATTTGGTTTCGAGCTCCACTCAACGCTTGTCCTTGAAGCTCGTCGAGCTTCCAACCAACTCAATCATTTTCACACGAGTTTTCAGGCTCATCGCCGCATTCCGCGCGGGAATTATTTCGGCGAGTTAGGACACCGCAATCCATCCGCAGACTTACTCCGTCGCCGCAATTAACGGCGTGGAGCATGTCGGGAGAGAGGGATATTCGCGAGAGACTCAGGCCGCCTGGCAGCGGCAACAGCAATAGCGACGTCGCTTCAAGCGGCAGATTTGCGAATTCTCCGCAGCTCCCGTCACCGGGAGATTCCTCTCCGCCTCGCGATAGGCTCGCCTCCTCCGCGAATCCCGCCACCCTCGCGTCTGACCTCACGTCCTCGTCATCCTCATCCTTCTCCTCCGTTTTCGCCTCGTTTTCCACCCTGGATACGAATCGTAGCGCGTCGAATCTTTCAGTGCCCAGCTTCGACGGCCGAGCCGCGTCGCCCGAACCTACCGCGAACGGCGCCGCGTTTATCGGCGTCAAGGGCGTCAACGGAATCAACGGAATGAACGGCCTTAAAGAGGACTACTTAAAAACCCCTGAATTGCCCACAAGCCACGCTCCTGCGGTGATCATGATGAATGGTGGACTCGAGTCGCGCGATAGGGGCACTCGCGTCGCGGGTCTTGCCGCAGCGCCAACGCCGCCAGTGCTGCGGGAGGCGTCAGCAATGGCTGTAGCGGCAATCGCGGCGGCGAAGGCGGTACAGAGACGAGCGCTGGAGTGCGCGATCGACGCCGTAGATGCGCTCACCGCCTGGTGCGGCGCAGCGAGCGGCGGGGGAGCCAGCGGAGGCGGGGCGGCTGGGGGAAGCGCGGCAGGGACAATGGGCGGGGCGCTGATGCGGCGGGGAGGCGGGGGAGGGGGCGCGGGGGCAAGCGGGTTGTGGGGAGGCGGAGACCCGCTGAAGGGGAGTCGCAAGATGTGGGTGGCGGGGCTGATGGTGGTTGCGCTCATCAGCCTTCTGGTGAGACGGGGGGAGGGGGAAAAGGGGAGGGGAAGGGGGGGAAGATTGGTTGCGGGAAGAGGGCGGGGGGAAGGTTGTGATTGGGAAGGGGTCATCGGGGGGAGGGGTGGGAGGGTAGAGCAAGGGGGGTATGTTGGGTGGAAATGGTCAGGGAAGGGAAGGGGGATTGTGGGGGGAGGGGGAGTGGTAGGAAGGGGCAAGGGATAGCGAAGAGTGGGAGGGGAAGGAGCGCACACTTAAACCCCTCCCCGCACACCCAAACCCTTCCGTTGTCAAGCTCTCATTCTCCGCAGTCTCGTATTTTCTCCCCCCTCGCTTTCCCCCGATCCCCCCATTTCCCCCTCCTTCCCCTTCCCCCACCCCCCTCGTCCCCCTCTCCCCGTGTGTCTGTGACGCCTCTCGCTCGTACTCGTCCCGCTACCTGTACCGCATCTCACCATCCTCTACCGCATTCCACCTGTCCCCTCCCGTGGCACCACCAGAACACGTCACACGTGAGGGACTTCAAGAAAGATGACGTGGCGCCCTTCGTTACAAGGTAACCCGTGCCTCCTCGCTCCGCCCTTACTCTTTCCCCTTGGCACGCCACACCACGCCACGCAACACCACTCAATTAACCCCAATATCACACCTGCTCTCCCCCTTCCCTAACGCACTCCCCTCTCCCGGTCTCTCCCCCCGTTCCCTTTCGCCCTCCCCTCTCCCACTTCCCTCTCTCTCCCTCCTCCCTCTTCCCCTCCTTCCCCATTCTTCTCCCCCCCCCCCCCCCCCCCCCCCCCTCTCAGCCTGGCGAGCAGCGAGGCGCAGCTGGCGCAGCAGGTGCGCGCGCAGGCGGGGGCGGTATCCGAGCTGGCGGAGCGCGCGCAGCAGCAGGTGCAGCTGCTCGGCGCGCTGCTGAAGCGCACGGAGGCGCTCGAGGGCGCGCTGGGGCGCCTCGCGGACGGACGCGAGCGGGAGGTGGTGGCGCGGGAGATTGGCGCTCTGGGGGGCGGGGGCGGGGGCGGGGGCGGGGGCGGGGGCGGGGGCGGGGGCGGGGGTGCGGGAGGGGGTGGGGGAGGGGAAAGGGGAGCGGGAGCGGGGGAAGGTGAGAGGAGGCAATTGGTGGTGGAGGCGGCGGAGATAGCGGAGCAAGCAGGGAAGACGGGAAGGCAGGCCGGCCGACAGGTGAGATGAGATGGGGACGATGCCAGTCTGCAAGAGGAAGGGAGAGGGGTGGGGTGCGGTTGATTGAATGGGCCGCATAACGCCCACACAGTATGTACGTTGGGACGACACATGTAGCGTCCGTGCCGGGCTAGGGGGTATGAATAATAGGGGAGGCCTTCTAGTGCGTGACTGGGGCGAGCAAGAGAGCACAGAAGTGGTGGAATGAACCTGCGCAAGGGAAGAGCGAGTGCAGGCAGGCACAAGGGACGGACGGAGAAGTGGGACTCTCAACGCAGTGCTGGGGATGAAATGGGGGGCACCGAGTGCAGGGCACGGCAGGGCACGGCAGGGCAGGGCAGGGGATAGCAGGCGTGTGACGGCAGGTGTGTGGGGCATGGGGTGCAAGCATGACTGCTCCTGGCAGGGGCCTCAGCGCCCTCTCTCCCCCTGCCCCTCTCCTGCAATCATGCATCCAACGCTGGGGCGCTGAGGCGTGCCACCAAGGCGCTGGGTCCCCCTGTCTCCCCCTGCCCCCCCCTGTCTCCCCCTGCCCCCCCCTGTCTCCCCCTGCCCCCCCCTGTCTCCCCCTGCCCCCCCCTGTCTCCCCCTGCCCCCCCCTGTCTCCCCCTGTCCCCCCCTGTCTCCCCCTGCCTCCTCTGCACCAAGCAATCGTTGCCCCACAATCTCCCAGCTGCCCCATTGTAAGCCTGTACCGCAATCCTCCCCCCACCGCCCATCTGCCCTTCTCTCTCCTCCTTTCCACCCATCTCCCCCGCTTCCACCTATTTCCCATCCCTCTTCCCCACTCGCATCCTTCTCCCCCATTTGCCCCCATTCCCTCCCATCTCCCCCCCTCACCTCCCCAGCTGCGCTTGCAGCGGGCGATCATAGACGGCCGCAAGGCGCGCGTGGTGCAGCTGCAGCAGCAGGTCGCTGCCCGCCCCTGCCGTTGCCACCGCTGCTGCCATGCCAACCCTCATCTTCCCCCTATCTCCCTTCTCTCCCCACCCCCGCCCCACCCCCCGTTTTGCACCTTCCCCCCAGTTACGGCTGCAGCGGGCGATCATAGACGGCCTCAAGGCGCGCGTGCAGCAGCTGCAGGGGGAGGTCGCTGCTGCACACGCTGCCCACGCCGCTGACCACGCTCACACTCGTGCCACTGGTACTGCTGTGGCCGCCACTGCTGTTGACACTGCTGCTGCCACAGGAGGTGCAGGTGGGAGGGCAAGGGAGGAGCAGCGGCAACAGCAACAACAGCAGCAGGATCAGCAGCAGAAGGAGCAAGAAGGGAAGGGGCTGGGGCTGGGGCTGGGGCAGGGGCAGGGGCAGGGGCAGGGGGAAGGGCAAGGGCAAGAGGAGGGGCAGATGCTGCGGGGCGGTGAGGAGGACGAGTCAAGGCGGCAGCAACAGGAGGAAGAGGGGCAGGGGCAGAGGGGAGGGGGGCAGGGGCAGCAGGAGCAGGAGGGACGGGTGGGAGGGGTGGAGCAGGGAGGGTCGAAGGAGGAAGGAGGCATGGTTAAAGAGGGGCGGGGTGAAGACTTGGAGCTGATTGGACGAGACGAAGGTGAGGGGGAGGAGGGATATGCTTGGCTGTGGGGATTCCTGGGCAAAGGCTGCATTTGAGGCACCTTAAAAAGGATAAGTTGCTGATAAGTTGATTAGTTGGTTCTCCCTTATTTTTTGGGTTACCCATTTCTTGCCAATAAACCTGTGTGTGTGTGTGTGTGTGTGTGTGTGTGTGTGTGTGTGTGTGTGTTTGTGTGTGTGTGTGTGTGTGTGTGTTTTTGTGTGTGTGTGTGTGTGTGTGTGTGTGTGTGTGTGCATGGTTGCTTGCGTGCATGCATGCATGGGTGCATGGTGGCATGTGTCAGAATACACACCATTCCGAGAGTACACTACACCATCTGGCTACAAGTTTGTTCGCTTCAGGTATGCTCCACTCCACTCCACTCCACTCCACCCCTCATCATCTCGTAATGAAGCGCCTCAGGAAGCGCCTCCTCTCACTCGTTTCAGTTATACTCTACCTTCGATGGTTTGCACCGCTCTCCATCTCATTGCACTCCTCATGTCATCCCGTCCCATCCGTCCCTCCCATCCCATCCCACCCCATTACTCCCCTGCCATCTCATCCCAACCCGTTATTCACATTCCCATCCCATCCCATCCCATCCCATCTTATTTCAGCAGAAACATATTTCCACCATCCTCCCTCTCTCTTCCCCCCACAGCACACCACAACTCCCCCAACAGCATATTTCCGCCTTTCCCCTCACTTCTAACCCTTCATTCCCCTTCTCTTCCCCTTCCCCCCCCCCCCCCCCAACCCCCCCAGTGCGCATCGCATCTCACCAACAGCCTTTGCAGCGGTGGGCGTGGCCCCTCTCTCCGCTCGCCACCTCTCCCAGCCCCTCTCACATTGCGTGTACGTGTCCCCGCACTCCCCCTCTCAGCCACTGTATTATTGTTCTTCTCTCTTTCACCAAGTGCACCCCCCACCCCACCCTTCCCGCCGTCTTCCCCCCTTTCCCCCTTGATTCACTATAGCGTCCCTGCTTCTCTATCTTTCGGTCTGCACCTTCATCTCATCCACCTTCGCACTCTCGTCTCCTCCCTCGCACTCTCGTCTCCCTCGCACTCTCGTCTCCCTCGCATTCCCATCTCCCGCGCACTCCTTTCTCCCGCGCACTCCTTTCTTCCTCGCACTCCCTTCTTCCGCACACATTTGGACAAAGAGTGTCGGCCGTGATTAGATTAGGAGAGGGCGGAAGGTGTGTAACAGAACACAGAAAAACACTAGTTAACCTGATTGGAAAGAACAAGAACAAAGGTGAATCTGCAATGTTGTTGCCAGCATCTTCATGATCATCCTCGCACTCTCCACTTCACCATACATAGACACACTCTTCTCACCCTTGAGAATTCTCAAAAGCGATTCCCCAACTCCCTCCCACTAACTCCCTCTCACTCGCACTCACTCCCTCTCACTGGCACTCAATCCCTCCCCTCCCCGTCATCCCCCTTCGCCCCCCCTCACTCCCTCAACCTCCCACTCGTTTCCCCTCCGCCCTCCCCCCCTTCTCCCCAGCAGGCTGTCCCCTGCACGATCCCCCCTCGCCCCAATAAGGAGTGCCCCTTCAACGGTCATCCTCTCACACCCACCTGAGGGGTTGTGCTGTGCTGCTCCTTCCCCTTGACTCCCTCCCCCCCAAACCTTCCCTCCCCCGCCCTCCCCACCTTCCCCCTTTCCCCCAGTTGGCTTCCCCCAGCAGGATCCCCCCTCGCCCCAGTAAGGGGAGCCCTCTCAACGGTCTTCCCCTCACACCCCCCCGAGGCCCCCATGGAAACAGTTGTGCTGCGCTGCTCCTTTCCCCCACCTGCTACGCCTGGGGAGGGGGAGACGCACGGGGAAGGGGGGGAGGAAGGGGGTGGCGAGGGGCGGGAGGGGAGGGGGAGTGGAGGGGAGCGGGCGCTGCCGTTTGGGGGCAGGGTGGCTGCGGTGATGGCGGGAGGCATGACTGTTCCTCTCATCATGTGAGTGGTGGTGTGTGGTGGTGTGTGGTGATGGCGGGAGGCATGACTGTTCCTCTCATCATGTGAGTGGTGGTGTGTGGTGGTGTGTGGTGATGGCGGGAGGCATGACTGTTCCTCTCATCATGTGAGTGGTGGTGTGTGGTGGTGTGTGGTGATGGCGGGAGGCATGACTGTTCCTCTCATCAGGTGCGAGGTGGTGTGTGGTGGTGTGTGGTGGTGTGTGGTGGTGTGTGGTGGTGTGTGGTGGTGTGTGATGCTGTGTGGTGGTGTGTGGTGGTGTGTGATGCTGTGTGGCGGTGTGTGGTGGTGTGTGGTGGTTTTTCCTTTGCCTGCTCTTGTCTCCCTCACTTTACTCTCTTTCCCTGTTTGTCTCGCGTCCTTGCCTGCCCCCCTCCTCTCTTCCTTTCCTCCACTCTTCCTCTCCTTCCCTGTCTCAGCTCCACTTCTCCCCTCTATATCTCCAGATACTCACCTCACTGGTCAACTTTCCACCCCTCTCACCATTGAAATTTCTCAAAAACTACTCACCCATCCCCATCAATCTCCCCTCATCTCAACCGTCTCACCCATCTCACCCATCCCCCACCACACACCAGGGAGCAACACCCCTCCGACAAACCACCCACCACCGCCGCCACCACCACCACCTCTCCGCCCTTCCCTCCGCCCTTCCCATCGCACCTCACCCTCTGTCTCCCCCCGCTCCACGGCCCCACCATCTCCCCGCGCTCTCTCCTCGAATTCCTCTCATACCATCACCTCATCGGCATCTCCTCCTTCCTTCTCTACAACGCGGGGGGCGCCACCGATCCCGTGCGAGCCGTGATCCAGGCCCAAGCGGTCCAAGGCAGAGCGGAGCTGGTGGAGATGGCAGGGCTGTTGGAGCGGGAGCAGCTGTGGAACCACGGGCAGGTGCCGGCGCTGCAGGATTGCTTGTACCGCTCGCGCATGTCGGCGCGCTGGGTGCTGTATCTAGACCTAGATGACTACCTCTGGCTGCCGCCTGTTACTGAGCCCCGGCCGCTCCCGCCCCTGCACATACTGCTAGAGACCTACGATGCTGGTAACTCGGTAACTGCTGGTTCTGCTTTGACTAGCAGAACCGGCGGCGACGGCAGCGGCAGGGGTAGTGGGGTGGTTGCAGCAGCAGGGGGTACGAGCCTTAGTGGGTGGGGCGACGGCAGCAGCAGCAGCAGCACGGGCGGCAGCACGGGCGGCAGCAGCAGCACGGTGGCCGGCATAACCTTCGGCTCGTTGTGGTTCTCCATCCACCTGTGCCGCCCGCGTGCCGACCACGAGATCGAAGTGCTCGGCCTGCCCGACCCCAGCGCACCCGGCATGGCCGCAGGGGGAGACGCCGGGACAGCAGGCGGGGTGGATACAGGAGGGGGGCGGCTGTGGAGAGGCGGGGTGGTGCGGGATAAGAAGGTACCCAAGGAGTCGCAGTGGGGGGGGGAGAGGGACGGCGAGATGCAGGTGGAGCGGTTTGTGTTTCACTGGCCGGAGCCGGCATGCCATGACAATGAGAAGGACGGCGAGAGAATATTCGACCCGTCAGTGTGCCCGGGCGAGCAGGGCCATCGCAAGTTCATTGTTGACCCGCGCAGGGTGAGTGCCCCTTGTTTGTGGTCTGTTTTGAGTCGACTAACAAACGGATTTATCATTGATCCCTGAAGGGTGCGTGACCTTTCTTTCTGGTCTACCGCACTCCTCCCTCCTCGCTGTGCCCCGGCGAGCAGGGCCACCGCAAGTTCATTGTTGGCCCGCGCAGGGTGAGTGCAGCCATCTCTGCTCTGGCGTACTCCTCCATCCCTCATCCTTCATACCTCAACCATCGTCCTTCATCCTTCATTCCACCTTCCTTCTCTCCCCACTGCAACCAGGTTGACAGCATGGGTGTGTTCGGCCCAATCCCCTCCCGTCCCGCTTACCCGCGCATGGCACACCTTAGCACTCACGTCGGGCACACAGCAGGGCGTGTGGTGAGACACATTTTCCCTCCTCCTTTGCTCCCTTCCCTCCCTCTCCTCCCTCCCTCCCTCCCCACTGCACCCAGGTTGACAGCATGGGTGTGTTCGGCCCCATTCCTTCACATCCAACGTATTCCCGCATGGCACATCTGAGCACTCATGACCTGCAGCTGCTGCACTACAGGGAGCTGGGGTCGGGCACGGCGCAGGGCGTGTGTGACGAGCCCACCCCGCGCTGGCGCACCGTGGGGTGGTGGCACACCGATGCCAGCTATGCGCGCTCCATTGCTGCCTTGAGGCAACGCGCGCAATGCAACTTCACCAGCGGAGGGGTGAGTTGGGGAGGGCAGAGACGAGAGTGGGAGAGGAGAAATGTAACTTCGAGAGTGAAGGGTGATTCAGAAGCCATGGGGGGTAGGGCTGGTGCACGGTAGCAACGGTGGCCCGGGCTTGCCATGTGCGGACGTTGCTACAGTGAGGCACACATTCAGGTGAGTGATGGTGTGGTGGCGAAGAGGAATGAATTGGTGGGAGAGTGGCATGGCGATGCGCATTGGAGGGTCCCATCCCACTCCCACGGTACAGTGTGGATGGCGGCACACTGGTGCTTCCTCTGTGCTGACGTTGCTGTCCGTGAGGCTCGTGTTCGGGTGAGCGGTGGGGGCAGGAGAGGTGGATAGTGGTGGTGGGCTAAGGGGAGCTGGTGAGTGGTGGTGTGGCGGGGGGAGCTGGTGAGGGGGCGTCCCTACGGACTGCAAGCCTCCCATCACTCTTGCCGCACACTGCACCACCCTTCCTCCCTTACCCCTCTCTCATCACTCATACATCGTCCCTTGATGCCCACTCTCATTCCCCCACCTTGCACGTTCTGCACCCCGACCTTCCCGTCTCCTCCCTGCAGTGCCCAGGCTCGCCATACACATGATACCACGTTTGGAGGGGCATTAAGGAAGCAAGTCTTGCCTAAAAAAGGAAGGCTCGCCCTGAACATGACTTGCGCAGCATCCGTCATCAATATACATGCACCACATTGTTTTTCTGATTGTCTGTTCTGGAGAGAAACCAGTGGGCTTTTGGATGGAGGGGCAATGCCCCTCTGCAACTTCTAACGAATAAAGAATCATCTAACGATATTTATGGCCTACGGTATAAGCTTGTGCATTCTCCTAGGTTTCTTGGGGATGGTTCTCTATGATTCCAACATGCATTCTCCCTGTTTGCTTAGTTAGCATAGACCATACCATTTTGAGTGTTGCAACCTCTTACAAGTTTGAACAGTCGCCGCTTTGCAACCTACTGCAACACAAAAATACCGTGTATAACATTACTCGAAATGAACAGAACAGATTCGTACCCGCAATGGAGAAATCGTCGTGTCACACGGACATGAATGCTACAACTTTCGCGAATCCAGGACGTATCTACAGCGACCGACCGAAGGTCGAGCGTGAAGCGCGGGGAGCAGCGCTGCTCCCCGCGCACGAGGCCTGTACAAACTTGCGCGATCCTTCGTCGCGCCAAGGAAGTTTTTTCGCACGTGCGACGGCGGGTGCGGAACGGCATCGGGGGGGGGGGGGGGGGGGGGTGGCGTGGACGAAGAGTCGGAAAGAAAGGGGCGGCGTTTTTTACGGGGCGGCCGAATGGAACGGGCAGCGGTACGGAAGAGGAGGCGGAATGGAAGGGGCTGGGCGGCGGAATGGAAGGTGGGCGCTCAGACGGCGGTGGCGGAGGGCGCGTCGGCGAGTCGTTTGAGCAAGGCGCGCTGCGACCGATCGTCCGCCACTCCATTCACCTCCTCCCACCCGCTCAGAATCTGCAGCGCAACGGCCGCGACAGGCGCAGGGAGGGATACGCGATGGGGTGAGAAATTACTGTTTCTAAACAACACTCTGCGGCTCGTAATCCGCTACCATGATGGATTGGCTGCTGTGATTTCAACGCCTCTCGCTATCGTGTCCGTCAGTTACAGTTTCTGGCGTTTTGTAACATTGTCGTTCAAACGCCGCGCTTTGTACAAACCAAACGACGCACATCGGCGAGACACCTGCGAAAGGTATGCGACGCACCTTAAGGTACTCTGCGATCGGCATGCGACGATACTCCATCGCCGACCAACCGCTCATTGATGACGCGACGTTGCCGCCTTGCGACCTGGGAGGGGGGGGGGGGGGGGGGGGGGGGGGGGGGGGGGGGGGGGGCGCGACACAGGGAGTTTGTGTAAAAAAAAAAACGGCAAAGTTACGAGCTTGTGTTTTTTTTTATGCGACGAGCGCGAGAAACAATGAGATTCGTGCTTTGAGAGGAATCGTGCGTGCGTGACGCGTGCAAGGCGCCCCCTTCCTTCTCACCTAGTCTCGGAACCGCCTGCGAATGTGTCAGCGAGGAAATAGCTGGTTACCGCGGCTCCTACTGTGATCGCGACGGGCGTCGCGGCTTGCTGCAGGTTCGCGACGAGGGGAGGGAAGAGCAGAAAAGGGCGAGTGGGAGATGGACAATCGAGTAACAAATGCATATATGAGAGAGCACAGGGAGCTCTAGAAGGGAGGTATAGCACGCGCGCGGAGAAGGCCATGGAGAAAGGATGCGGAAATACACGCGGATGACGGAGAGATTAACACAGGTCAGCGGAGAACCGCCGTAAGAAACCTACTCGAAAGGCGGCGATAGGGAACATGGTGATGCCGCGACTTGGGAGAACGGGCGATTCGAGTAGAGGCTACGTTAGAAGCAGGATTCAGCGGCGAGGAGAGTCTCGTGGCAGCCTTATGATGTATGGGAGGGACGAAAAATAGGCGAGAGTCGGAGTTGATGATTTTTACACCTTCGATCGCTAGCTTCCCCATGGCCGCCATTCTCTGTGCTCTTATGCAGGGAGGGCGTGGCATGGTATGGTGTTGTAGACTAGAGTCATGCTCATCCCATCACACCTGAAACCCTGCGGGATGGTTTGGTGTACTGCGAATCCTCCAGCGGAGCATGCGCTGTGGTATGTGCTGGCGTCCAGCAAGGCAGGGCACGTTCTGTGAGAGGCTGAAACTGACGTGGAATGCGACCACGCCACGTTTGCCAGATCGTAGCAACACTAACGAGAACAGAAGCATTGCTTTCAAAACATGCTAAGTTTCTGCTGTGGTGTGGTGTATGTTTCTGTCCTTGTAAACCACACCAATTACGTGCGGAAACCATATGTAGCTTCTTCTGTGTCATTAGCATACTATTCATGCCATGGATCCATAAAGTCCATGGAATTAATTTGGGATTGGATTAGTTTTTCATGATATGAATATATTTAAGCTCAACTGCAGGTATCCTAACTGAAAGTCAGCTACTAGCCCATGTTCATATGGTGGTAGTCGATTATGGAACGGAAGCGTACTACAGAGAGGAATGCCAAGAGTGTCTGGGCACGTGACTGAGCAGCCAATGGTGGGCTTCCAGCATGCCCAACCAATTTGTGGTTCCGAGTGGATAACGTACCCAGTCTCAAGTGGGTCAACCGTTTTTGTGAAGGAGCGTAGCTTTCCGGTTTGCTCTGTCAAGGTTCAAATGGTGTCAGGGAGCTGCCCGTCCTGACGAGGGCCACATATGATTGGCGGATACGTTGTGCGCGGCAGCGGGAAGCGTTGTGAAGCACCATTGACACAAGAGAACCACTGTTTCGATTTTCCCAAAGGCCGGTGAGATTCGTTATAGACAACCGAAGATGACCGTTGGCATCCACTCTGGCAGTACACTACCTCCATCCGCGAATCCCGGCACCTGCATGGGGCGGGACATTTCTCGCTCCCAACCCAACCGCAACATTTTCGGCACTCAGGCGCCGCGGCAGTCTGGAGTGCTTCCTGACAATCTCCAGGCCTGTGATCAGTGAGATGTCAGTCCATGCAGTTGGGCATATGCCAAGATGGGGGCGAGCAGGCACGGAAAAGCAAAACTGTTGTTCCCAAGGGGCCTGATGTGCACTTTTAGCAGAGGCGTACAGACAGCCGCGACCGTCAGATTCAAGCGTAGTGCTCGATGAGCGGACCAGATGAACCGGATGAACGGACTCGATGACGAGCTGTGAGGAGATTTCTGATAGAATTTCAGTAGTCATTGCTGGATGTCTGCCATTTCTGTTGCAGCTGTGGCTGCGGCAGGGCTCTGGCAATATCCGTTTGAAAACCCGCGAGATGACTTATTTGCGTTTGCCTCCCATGTCATCCGTTCCTCGACGGCTGGTGTTGAAACACTTTTCATCTTTTGTGGCTCACATTCGGTTCTAAAACCAGATTTCTGGGCTCACAATCCGGCTACAGGCCGGATTCACCGCAAATAGACATTGATTTTTCAGGCACGCCTTCGTAATACGATAGAGAGATACGTACTTGAGCGAGAAGTCGTGCTTAGTACAAGAGTAGTGGAATTGTATCCATGGCGGAGCCATCACCATCTATCCTTACGTGCACTGAAATGAACGAAGTTGAAACGCAGATGGTTCACGTCAACGATTATGCTCGTCTGACCTCGTCGACGAGTGACGCAACACTTGATCCGGTGTCGCTCACAGGAGCCATGTGTCCAAATGCTTCTGGAGTTTCCTCGTTTCACACAATCGAGCCGCAGGAAATCCACGACGCGATGTTTCGTCAGGATACTACGCTAGCAGCTGAAAGAGATCCAGCAGTTGCAGAAGCTGTAGCAATCGGCCAAGATGAGACTGCCTCAATAGATTCTGAAGAGCTCAGACAACCTGACGATAATCGAGACACTCGTATGGAGTCAAACGAGGCCGTAACTCAGGATCATACGGTAATTGAGCATGATAAGATGGACGTGGATGCGATACCACCGCCAATTGACCAAGATCAGACTTTATCGAAGGAAGTTGATGAAGCCAAAGGCACTCATCAAACGGCGACGGACCAGGAGATTCATGAAGCTCCGACCGACCAAGAGATCCATGAAGTCGCTGACCAGAAAGACGGCGACATGGAAACGTCCGGCGCTAAGGGAGAGGTGAAAACGGAGCCGTGCAATGAGGCGGAAGCGTCAGCGGTGATAGAAGCCACCGGAGCCGCGGCGACTGAAGGTACAGAATCCACGGCGAAAGTTGCAGGAGACGCACCGACTGAAGCTACAGGAGCCGTGGCGAGTAAAGTCGCAGGAGACGCGGCGATTGAAGCAGCAGAAAAAGCGGAAATAGAGGTCGAAAGTGAACCGGTTGACCATGTGGAGAGACGAGTGGAAGAAGCGTCAGTTCCGGCTGGTGAAGCGAGCGAGGATGTGAAGATGGAAGACGTAAATGTCGCGGGCCACGGCAGCAACGCTGCGACTGATGTCAGCAACCGTCTGACCGAGGCCAGCCAAGGTGCGGCTGACGGCAGCAACGCGGCGAACAAGGATGACGGCACCGGTGGTGTCGGCGCTGCGAGCGACAAGGATGGCGACACTGCTAAGGACGACGCCGAGGCGAGGTCCGCAAATCCCGCAATGGATGCCGAGAACGCCGATAATTGCAGCTCCCCTCGGCTAACGTCGCAAAGGACTAACGACGCTTCTGCGATGTCCCCTCCTAGAGACCCCGCCGTCGCCGCGCTAGGCGCTGAGACCAACGGCGACACGCCTCCGCCGTCAAAGCCTGGCGCCGGCACGCCGAGCTTCTCCGTGGGGACGCCGTCAGTTGCGGCGGATACTCCGCGGCAGCAGACTATCAGCCCGGACAGCCAGTCCAGCCTGGTCGATCCCGGCCTGGTCGCAGGTGAGAGACCCCGCTCTCTCTCAGGATAAATTCACTGTATTGTTACGATATAATATGTCAACGCCGTGGTGAACTTTGATGTTGCTGCTGTTGTTGTGGTTGTTATAAGGATCGTCACTGACGTTCGCAATTCGTGTCTGCTTGCCGTTCACCGTGCAGATGAGAACGCGGCGCCGTTCACCATCAGCCAATGGCAGCAGCTGGAGCAGCAAGCGCTCATTTTCAAGTACCTCGTCTCCGGCGCCGCCGTCCCACCTGAACTCATCGACTCGCTCTATTCCACCTCGGACTCGCCTCGCCAATCACCCGACGGCCCTGGTACGGTGTTGAATCACCTGAAATTTTCCGGGCCGATATGGCCGTCGGTTGGGCTTGTAACGGGAATGACAGAAACGCGTATTGTTGCTCTGTGCAGCGTCGTGGGCCACGCCGCTCAAGGACGCGGAGCCGCTCAGGTGCCGCCGCACCGACGGCAAGAAGTGGCGGTGCTCGCGAGAGGTACGGCTCAACGCTTGCCACGGCACAAACCGTCCCGCTCTTGCGACTCTGTTCTCGCAATTCTTCTCTCGTGTCCCTCTTGCTCTCGACGCCGTTTCTCCACTCCTCGCCCTTGCCTCGCTCCCTTTGCTTCGGCGTGTCTCGCCCCCTCGACTCCGAGGTTGATTATATCGGCCTTGTCCATCTGACCCTCTCCGGTTCCTGTCTCCTTCCCACCTCGCCCCCTTCTCTCCCCCTCGCTCCCCCTCCCGCGTGGCTCATGGCAGGCGGTGACGGACCAGAAGTACTGCGAGCGTCACATGCACCGCGGCCGAAACCGTCTGGGAAAATCGCGAAGGCTCAGCGACAAGGCGACGGCCGGATCGTCTCTGTCCATCCAGGCCGCGTTGTCCGAGGGGCCCATGGGGTGCGTGGAGGGCACGTGCTCCGCCATGACTGACACGTGCACCGACACGCCCTGCCACAAGGGCCTCGTGCCCAAGTTCGAGCTCGGTTCGGTGTCGAAGATGGAGATAGGCTCGGTGTCGAAGCTGCGGTTGAACACGGACGATGTGGGCTCGACTGTTACGCGCGGGTCCCCTCCGCCTCCGCTTGCGCTGCCCCCGCCCGCTCAGCCTGTCGGCGCGGACCAGACGCGCACTCCCGCCTCCAAGACCTCGTACGTGGCACCGTCTGTCTTTTCCCTCTTATTCGTTGTGTTTCTCAGAAGCGCTGAGCAGAAGCTTCGATCTTTTGTGATCGTGGCAGTCAATGGCACTGAGCATATTCCTATTCCGCACTGGCTCCTCTGATTGCCATACTCTGTGGCTCATGGTTTTCTTCTCTTGTTTCCTTGTGTCCTCGCAGGGGCCTTGGTTGCTCCAAGCAACTCGCCATCGAGCTGTCCCCAGAGAACACCGGATCACCCGTCCCGACCAGCCAACAGCCCCGCGACCCTGCGTGCACCCCGTCCGCTACTGCTGCTCCGGCCGCCTCTGCCAGCGCAGTCACTGGCTCCGATGCCACTGCAGCCAAGTCGTCCCGTGCCATGTTCACCCCGTTCGGCCTCCCCGAGCCCACGCCCGCTCCTTCCTCGTCCTCCGCGCCTCCCGCTGAAGCCGCGTCCAACAGTAAGTTGCTCGTCTCTGGCGGCTCAGACAATTACCACCCCCAGCAGCACCAGCAGCAGCAGCAGCAGCAGCAGCAGGAGTTTTTTGAGCAGCAGCAGCAGCCTTTTGAGCAGCAGCAGCAGTTCGGGGCGGACCCTCGGCTGCAGAAGTCGCAGTCAATGCCGTGCCACAGCAGCGGCAGCAGCAACGGCCGGATTCAGCTGCAGCTGAACGGGTCTCTGGGCCCTCGCCTCACGTCCACCTTTCAACCCAGCCACAGCATCGTGGAAGGCGATGAAGGCAGCCCCGCCCCCATGCCTTCGCAGCAGCCACATCAGCAGCATGCCCTGATGCCCTCGCGATCCATGCCGCCCCGCCAACAGCAGCCAGGTGCCTCAAACGCCCTGTATTCTCAGCAGCAGCAGCCTGCCGGGCGCATGGGCTCGCCGCCTCGCATGCAGCGGTCCACGTCGCTGGTGCTGGGCGGCGGGCAGCGGCTGTGTCTGCAGGTGCCGCCCAGCAGCAACTCGCGGATGCCCGTTTCCTCCAGCGGGATGGCGCCTGCTGGTGCCGCTGCTGGTGCTGACTCTGCCGGCGCTGGTGGTGGTAACGGCGTGGGGCAGCTCCAGCCGGGGCACTACCAGCTGCAGACGGGCGGACGAGGTCCCAATGGCGCTGTGCCCCTCGGCGGCAGCAACTGGCAGACCCAAGGCCAGCAGCGGCAGTCGCCCGCGCAGCAGCCTTTCCAGCAGCAGCAGTCGCAGCAACAGTGGCGGCCGCAGCAGCAGCAGCCGGCACAGCAGCAGTGGCAAGGCCAGTCACAGCAGCCGCAAGTCCTTTCTTCCGCGCCTTCTCCTCGGCCGCAGCAGCAGCTGGAGCAGCAGCCACAGCAGCGGTGGTCGACACCGAATCAGCAGCAGCAGCCGTGGCAGCCGCAACAAGCAGGGCAGCAGCAGCAATGGCAGCAGCAGCAGGCGCCGCAGCAAGGCATCAACGCTCCTTCTCAGCCCGCAGGTGGTAACCAGTGGCAGTCACAACCAGCCCAGGCACCAATCGCGCAACAACAGCAGCAGCAGCAGCAGCAGTGGCAATCCCCTTGCGCAGCACAGCAGCAGCAGACGCCTCGGTCTCAGCAACAGGGCGGGCAGTGGCAGGGCCAGAACCAGCAGTGGCAGCCGGAGCACGCCAAGCAGGCCCCCGGGCAGGCACCCATGACGCCAGTGATGCAGCCACAGCAGCAGCAAGGCATGGGGCAGGCGGGGCCAGCACCGTCTCAGCAGACGCCCTACACGCCTCAGCAGGGGCAGTCGAGGCAGGGCGCGGGGCAGAGAGGCGAGGCGTGCAAGTTCAGCTCACGAGCTCTGGTGCTCAGCGGCGAGCCTGAGTCGCCTGAGACCCACCCGCTCGTCTCCGCCCGCTCTGCTTATTCTGACGGGGCACCCAAGACCCAGCAGCCACTGCAGCAGCAGCAGATGCGGGTGCAGGCAGTCCAAGGGCAGCAGCAACCCATGAACGTGCAGCATCAACAGCCTCCGCCGCAGCATCAGCCTCAGCTGCAGGTGCCTGTTCAGCAGGCGCCAATGCAGCAAGCGTCGGTGATGCAGCCACAGCCAATGCAAACCACAGCCATGTCCGGTCCCCCTCAGCCAATGAGAGCCCCGCGTGGATCCATGCTGCCTCCCCCTCCCCCCAACGCCCAGGCGCCTCTCCAGCAGCAGCAGCCGCACTCCCAAGCTCTCCCCATGCCCCTGGGGGGACTCTCCTCTTCCACCAGCACCACCAGCAGCACCAGCAGCGGTGGGGGCGTGAAGGTGCCTCTGCTGCGGCTGCCCAGCCTCGTCCAGAGGCCGCCCGCCCATCCGTCCCCCTTGGGCCCGCCTCCCTCCAGCCTCAGCAGCCACGGCTCTGGGCTGTCGGCATGCAGCATGGCATCTCCCATTGGCACCCCTATGGGCGCGCCTCACAGCAACCCCCACGTGCTCACGCGCTGCAGCTCTGTGCCTGAGCCCAGGCACGGGCGGCCGCACCTCATGCGCTCCCAGTCCATGTTTGAGTCGCCCAGGAAGAGCTTCGTTGCTGCGCCCACCGACAAGTACTGCCCGCCGCCCCTGGACCTGCTCAATGGCTCGGATGCCTGTGGGTACAGTGACGGGCCGTATGAGCAGCAGCAGTACCAGCAGCAGCAGCAGCAAATGTACCAACCGGTGCAATCCCAGCAGCAGCAGCAGCAGCAGCAGCAGCCGATGGGTTACCAGATGGGGAGTTCCAGTGGCTCTGGTGGTATGCCAGCAAGCCACACCAACATGCGGCAGATGAGCAACTCCCAGCAACAGCAGCGATTCAGCCCCGCCCCTTCCCAGTCTCGCATGCACAGCCCTGCACCGCCACAGGCGCCCATGGGGTCACAGCCAACCCTCGCACAACCACCCATGGGGCAGCCCCAGCAGCAGTACTCGCATGCTACTCCCATGCAGCAACAGCAACAACCGCAGCAGCAGCAGCCGTTCTACCAGCAGTCACAAACAGTGCAAGGACCACCAGTGCAGCAGCAGCCTCCCATGCACCACCAAGGGCAACCTCTGCAGTACCAGCAGCAGCAGCAACCGCAGCAACAGCAGTATCAGGCGCAACCCATGCAGAATATGCAGCCTCAGATGCAGCAACAACAGTATCAGCAACAACAGCAGCAACTGCCTGGTCCTCCGCCCATGCAGCAGCAGCCCACATCGCAGCCGTACATGCAGCAACAACTCCATCCTACGGCCCAGATTCATCCTCCCTCTGCCTGTGTTGATGACCGGCTGCAGCAGCAACAGCAACAGCAGGCGCCACAGCAGCAGCAGCAGCAGTCAGGACTCTCCATCGACATGTTCTTCAGTGACGACAGGTAAGCTACATACCATCATACCACATATCTGTTGCCGTTCCCCTTTTTATCTGCCCTACTGCAGTTCTTAACAGTCTTTTGATGAAAAGTGCACTAATTCACAGCAGCAACTCATCGGTTGTCCCATCTCCCTTGTCCTCCCCCCTTGTTCCTCTTCCGAATTGCAGTCCATGGGAAGAGGCATCAGCCCTGATTGGCCGCTCACCCAACCTGGGTCTGCTGCCGTGTGTGGACGACGCTGACGACTGCAGCCTCATCAGCGGGCCGCCCTCGCAGTACTTCTCTGTCAACCCCAGCGACTCCCAGGATGCCTTCCTGGCCGCCTGACAATGGCATGTTCCGCACGGGGCAGCATAATGCGTGCCCTTTAACACACATTGAGGGATATAAGCAGGAACAGTTGGCTCTGTTCTTCAGTTATGCTTTGTAGATTATATACTCTTTGTTTGTGTACACTGGGTGGGTAGGATTTGCAAATCCCTCATCTGTTCGATGAGGTAAACGATAGGTAATAAGCCAGGTTCTGTATTCAACATGCTAATACTACTACACTGCATTTAGCTGTACCACGACTTGTAAATTACAAATATCACAGTGAGCACGCTGAACCTTCACGTTCACGATCGCACGTTGTGGCATGCAATTGCAATGTCATCCAGGCCAGAAGTCCTAGTGCTGCATTCTCAAACGAGACATCAGTGAACAGATCCTCGAACATGCGGGTGCATCCTGGACTTCTTTCCAGGATTTCACAAGAACTACCCTACAACAGTCAACAGCCCATGTATCAGACTAAGCGCTACGCTGACTGCGCCCCACCACCAGCCTTGAGGGCTTCTGCCGAAACCCAGACAAAGCTCTTACCGGGGATAACCCCCTTCTGGCAGTAATAGACACACTTTGGCTGAGCGCTGCGGTCAATATTGTCACGAGAGCACACAGGGGGCCAGGAGTCCGGGAGAGAGAGCGAGGGAGAGGAGGAGGAGGCAGCAGCAAGGCCTGCCATTTCCAGGAGGGCAGGATCGAGAGGGTCCTGGCAGAGTGTCTTGACCGGGGCCTTGATTGTGGAGGGGTCTTGTAGCGCGTTCTTGGAGTACTTTATAAGGAGGATGGCCCAGTAGAGCGTGTGCCCGCTACGCGTGCACGCCCACCTGGCGGTTCGAGCAGTGAGGTGGGTGACAGGGGGGATGGAGGAGGGAGGGGGGAGGGGTGAGAAAGGGGGGATACATGAATGCACATTCATGCATTTGTGATGCGAAGGATGCATGGATAGAGCACGGTAATTGGAGCTTGCTGTTTACTGCACAGCACGCAGTGTAAAGCCTCACTTGGCCGCCCGTTTAGCAGCTGCCACCATGCGTGCGATGAACGTGGTCTTCGTGGCTCTGTGCCACTCGTGAGGATCACGCACACGCATGCGAGCAGCATGACCAGCACACACACACGACACACACACTCACTTTGCCTCCCATTTAGCAGCAGCCACCATGTGGTGCACGTGGTCGTCGTGGCTCTGTGCTTCATGCAACTGGATTTGTGCATTCATGACGATTGGCGCACACTGTTCCATGCACCATGAGCACAAGACACACTCACTTGGCCGCCCGCTTGCCCGCGGCCACCATGTGATGCACGTGGTTGTCGTGGCTCTGCGCCCACCGCAGCTTCTCTATCAGGTTGTCAAAGTGCCGGTTCGCCGGAATGAAGTTCACGTAGGGCTTTAAGAGCGGCGTGAAGAACTCCGCGTAGGGCGAGGCCTGCCTGATGGCCACCTGTAGGAGGGATGGGGTAAACGAGGGGGGTACGGGGGAAGTGGGGGGGGTATGATGGGGGGAAGGGGAAGAAGAAGGGACGAAGTTCACATATGGCTGCAAGACAGGCGTTAAGAACTACCAAGGGGGGAATGGGGGAGGGGGGGAGGGTCTTGTGAGACATCTCATACCTCACCTGCTTTTCCCTTCCTAAAAACGCCTCACAGTAACTTGTCAAATCTCACCTGCTCGCCCCGAGCAAGAATAGCACAGGTCTGGTGGGAGGAGGGCAGGCCAGACACGATCTGGTACTTGAACTTGCTCATGGGTGGGTCGGAGGCGAGAGAGGGGCGCCCCACCATGGCCACTCCATCCGCCTCCATCCTGACAGGAGCGTGTGGGGATGAAGGAAACGGAGTGGGTATGAGGTGCGAGGGAGTTTGGCGAGAGAGCAAGCGCGGGCGAAGGAGAGGGAGTGAGGGGGAGTGAGGGCGAGGGAGAGGGAGTGAGGGGGAGTGAGCAAGAGTGAGGGGGAGTGACAGGGAACAAAAGTGGGGGAGAGCGAGAGAGGGCAGGCACTGAGAAGGAGGATGGAAGGAAGGAAGTTGTTAAGTAACGCCAAAGGTGCAAGATTCACCGAGTAACATCGCCCCCTTCCCTGCACCACCGTATGACCAAATTCCAGCACCCCACTTTCTGTCCCCCCCCCCACCTTCTCCCACCCCCCAACTTCTCCCACCCCCCACCTTCTCCCCCCCCCCACCTTCTCCCAGCCCCCACCTTCTCCCACCCCCCACCTTCTCCCACACCCCACCTTGTGGCCCAGTGACCCACCCCACCGTGGCTGCGCATACCTCTTGCGCACGTCGCCATCGATGTCTCGGCTCCACCCGATCAGCTTCACATCCAGCAGGTCTGGCCGCGCTTCCGCCATCCTGGAAGGGGGGGGCGGGGAGGGGGGGAAAGGGGGGGAGGGGGGGAGTGGGGAGGAGGGGAGGACGAAGAGTGCGAGTGAGCATCAGCGTCACGTCCAGCAGGTCCCACCTGTGCAGGCAAATAAGTGGGTGCACGTGCCCTGAAAATAAGTGGGTGCACGTGCCCTGAAAATAAGTGGGTGCACGTGCCCTGAAAATAAGCTATTTAGTACCTACCCCAGAAGGCCCCACCTGTGCAGGCGAATGAGGGGGTGCGCTTGCCAGAAGCACCCACCCGAATTGATCGCACATGGGCAGATGAATAAGGCATTGCCTGCTGCTCCAACTGCACCTGCCCCACAACATCCCACCTGTGCAGGCCGATGAGGGGGTGCGCCCTCCACCAGTTCTACCTGCCCCACAACATCCCACCTGTGCAGGCGAATGAGCGGGTGAGCGCGCCAGTTCTGCGAGTCCTCAAAGGGGAAGCTGCTGGCCGTGCCGCGGAACACAGCGCGGTTCTCCTTCTCCTCCCACGGCACCTGCACTTAGGGGGAAGGGGAGGAAAGGGCGGGGGTGGAGTGGTTCAGCGCGATTCAAACGGAACACAGCGCGGTTCTCCTTCTCCTCCCAGGGCACCTGCGGCAAGGGGGTTGGCATGGAGAGGGTGGGAGAAGAGAGGTGGCTTCTTGCACCTCATTTCAACGTGACTTAATCAAATTGGATGTAGGTTCTCCTCGCAGAGCCCTCCCAGATCCACAACTCTAAACCAATCCCCACCCATCCCCATCCATCCCCACCTCCACGCTCTCAGGAAGGTCCATGTTGTCGGGCGAATCAAGGGGGGCCGGAATGGGCACGTCAACGGAGCAGACCCGCACCCCAGCATCACTCATTCGCCAACCCAACAGCCCCCCCTCTGCCGCTCTCTCCCCCCAAACCACACACACCTCAACGTTCTCAGGCAGGTCCATGTTGTCAGGTAAGTCAAGGGGGTCCGGAACGGCCACGTCCAGCGAGCAAGACCCATACCTCCAAAATCAGTCATGAGGCAACACACCCACCCAGCCACGATTCCGCCCCCACCTTTAAACAACACACACCTCCACGTTCTCAGGTAGATCCATGTTGTCAGGTAAGTCGAGGGGGTCGGGAACGGCCACGTCCACGGAGCCGGGCACCACGCGCGTGCTGAAGAAGGGGAAGCCCACCGGGCGGCTGCCGCCCACGTCGCTGTCGTAGCTGATGGGCAGGTCGCACGTGTTGACAAAGAACTCCGCCCGCACGGCCGCCAGGTTGTGCAAGTCCACTGCTCGCTGCCGGGATGGGGGGGCGAAGCAGGGGCGGGGGGCGGATTCGGGGAGAAGGGGGAGGAAGGGGGGAAACGGGGGGAGAAAGGGGGTAGACGGAGTGGAAAGGGAGGGGTGCGTAAGAGTGGGGAGGAAGGGGAGGGAAGGGTGGGGGGTTTGGACAGGTGCAGGGAAGATGCAGCGGGAGGGAGTGAAGGGCGTGCTGATGGGAGGAACGGATGAGAGGGCGAGGGGAGTGGAATGGGGCCAGGGATGCAAGAGATGGTGACGAGAAGATTATGGGAGTGAGTGACGGGAGGGAAGGAGAAAAGGGTAGTGGCGGGAGGAGATCCGGAGTAGGGGTGTGATGTGATACACGGAAAACGAAAGGGGTGAGAGGGCTGCGAGGGATACGAGGAAAACTCACCTGAATGGTGTCCAGGAAGCGGCGCACGCGGTAGGGGTCGTCCTCTCCTCAGCTCGGAGAAGCCTTGATGTGCACTCACTCAGTTGACACTCACTCACTCACCTGAATGGTCTGCACTCCGTTGACTTGACACTCACCTGGATGGTCTGCACGGTCTGCAGGAAGCGGCGCACGCGGTAGGGGACGGTGATGAATCCGCCCAGCCGGAAGTAGACCGACCCGTCCACCACCCTCACATGGCCGGCGCATGACATGAACTGATGGGATGGGGAGGGAGGGGAGGGGGAAGACGGAGAGGAGGGAGAAAGTGGGAGAAAGTGAATAGGATGTACAACGGAGGAAGTAGACTGACCCGTCCACCACCCCCACCTGGCCCGCACATGACATGAACTGATGAGAGCGGGGTGGGACGGGGAGAGGATAATGGTGATGAGGAGAGGAGCAAGAGAGGGAGAGGGGGAAGGAATGCAGAGAAGGAGACACTGATGGGGCATGACATGAATTGATGGGGAGAGGAATAAGCGAGGAGGGGTGATAGGTGAGAAGGGGGGAAATGTGGAAGGGGGTGTGCGAAGAGACAAGTAGAGGGTGGAAGACACGTGACATGAACTGACGTGAAAGGATGATGGCGGAAGGAGGGTGGGGGTGAGAAGCAGGAAGGGGAATGCAACAGCAAAGACGACGAGAGCCATCCACCACCATCCTCACAGCCTCCTGCCCCTCCTCTTCTCACCCCCCTGCTCACCCTTTTCTCTATCACCCAACCCCCTTGCTCACCGCCTTCTCTATCATCACCCAGTCAACCTGCTCACGCCATTCTCTATCACCTAGTCCCACTCTGCTCACCCGCGGGCGCTGGCTGATGGTTTTGACAAGGCTGGGCGCCGCCATGCTGGCAGCGCCCATGCCATTGCTCTGCCATCTCAAACCCCCAACCCCCTCCCTC